GAGGTGGTGCCAGTGGAACATAAAGGTAGGGAATTTGCATGATCAAAGAAAATCTTAGTCTGTGTCATCTTTGACCCAACAATCCCCTTTCTAGAACCTACACATCTGAGATCACAGAACAACATATGCACAAGGTTAATCATTGGAGGGGTCTCTCTAAATTGTAAAACACCTGATGCCCTTCAATAGGGGATGGCTGAATAAACATCAAATAAGTGGCCATACTGTGGAATATTATGCAGCTGTTAAAAGAATGTAGAGCTGAACAGTAGAAACAATGTTGAAAAAGAACAAAGCAAGAGGACTCCTATTTTCTGATTTCAAAATTTACTACAAAGCTACAGCACTCAAAAACAATATGGTACTGGAATAAAGACAGTCATATAGATAAACAGAATGGAGAGCCCTGAAAGAAGCCTTTACATATTTCACAAGGTTCCCAAGAACCATCGATAGGGAAAGGACAGTCTCTTCAACAAATGGTACTGAGAAAACTGGATATCCACAAGCAAAAGAATGAAGTTGGATCCCTACCTAATGCCATGTTCAACGATTAACTCAAAATGGATCCATGACCTAGAAGTAAGGCCAAAACTCTTATAAGAAAACAGGTTAAAATCTTCCTAACATTGGATTTGGCAGTGATTTCTTGGCTATGACAACAAAAGCACAAGCTAAAAAGGAAAAAATGAACAAATTTGACTTAATAAAAATTTTAAAAGATTTTGTGCATCAAAAGATACTATCAACAGAGTAAAAAGACAACCTGAAGAATGGGAGAAAATATTTGCACTCATGTATCAGGTAAGGAATTAATAATATCCAAAATATATGGAAAACTACTAAAACTCACAAACAACCCAATTAAAAAATGAGCAAAATATCTGAATAGACATTTCTTCAAAGAAGATTCATAAGTGGCCAATACATACATGAAAAGATGCTCAATATCTCTAATTATTTGGGAAATACAAATCAACACGAAAATGAGATACAACCTTACACTCACTAGTATGGCCACTATCACAAAAACAGAAAATAACCAGTGTTGGTAGGGATGTAGAGAAACTGGAACCCTTATGCACTATTGGTGGGATGTAATATGGTGATAGTGCTACATTGAAATAGCATGGAGTTCTTCAAAAAGTTAAAAATAGAATTACTATATGATCTAGCAATTCCACTTCTGGGTATCTGCCCAAAAGAACTGAAATAGTCTTGGAGAAATATTTATATATCTATGTTCATAGCAGCATTATTTACAATAACTAAAACGTGGAAGCAACCTAAGTGGTTATCAATAGATAAATAGATAAGCAAAATTTGTTTATCTATTCCACAGAATTGAATATTACTAAGCCTTACAAAGGAAGGAAATTCTGCAACATGCTGCAACAGGGGTGAACCTTGAGGACATTATGCTACATGAAATAAGCTAGTCATAAAAAGACACTGTATGATTTAAGGTCTTGAGAACAGTCAAAATCATAGGGACAAAAAATAGAGTGGTGGTTGCTGTGCACTGTGGGGAGGGGAAAATGGAATTATTTAATAGGGACAAAATTTCAGTTTTACAAGATGAAAAGACTTCTGTAGGTGGGTGGTGGTGATAGTCTCCCAACATTTCTTCTGATGCTGGGCAGTGGCAGGGAGCTGTCGTTCCCAGGCAGGCACACAATGATGAGGGTTAACAGCTCATTCTCTACAGTGCTGTGTTGCTGGTTATTTTGCCCGAGCAGAGGCTAAGGTAAGTGTTCTGAGCACATTTAAGATAGGCTAGGCTAAGCTATCCTGTTCAATAGGTTAGGTGTATTTTTTTTTTTT